CAATTTTTTCAGGTGATGCCAAACGAAAATTTCTACTCATGGTGAAGAACATTGAAAAGAACAGTTAGAGCTATGTAGACAACAGAAAATGTAAAGAGAACCAGAAAAAAACCAGTCCATAAAAGAGATGACCACTGCTATTGTTGTCTTCTAGATGCCACTCCTCGCACATATAAGTACTACGAGATAACAAAGAGCATTATGCGTTGTCTTTTTTATATATGCTGCGTTTGTACGCTCTTGGTCCAACTACTACATCTAAATATCGTGCATATGCTCCATCTTTTACCTATATCACCTAGTATATATAGTATAAATATAAGACTTCACCGACGATCTATAAGATAGAAACCGAAACAAATACTGATGTTCCATCCTTTTTGTATCACTCGGTTGTGACAGTGTGAGTTCTGATCGGAAGACATATAGTAACATGGGTGAAGAGACAGCGACAATAATGTGGTGTTTCGAAGGAGTCATTTTGAAAACAATGTGCGGGTTCATTTATTGATGGACGCTACTCTGTTTCCATATAAGCCAAAAAAAACAAGAATCTCATCGGTTATGTCTCACACGATTATATAATGCAAATAACAACGATCGAAAAAATTCCACTGTGACACAGTAAAACGTACTCAGTCAAGGGGGAAAAAGCTGATTCTATGATTCCATTGATTCCATTGATTCTATTGATTCTATATGATTCTATTGATTCCAGAATCTGTATGAATATCATGACCTCTATCCACTATGATGTCGTCCCATTGGGTTTTTCTCATCGCGGTTTCGGCCAATGAGGTTTTTTCTCACGACGGCTTTGGCCAATCAGATTTTTTTATGCCGCGATTTCTGCCAATCAGGTTTTCTCATGCAACGTTTTCGGCCAATTAGATGTTTTCACAGCGCGATTTCGGTCAATCAGGTTTTTTCACACAGTGGTTTCGACCAATCAGATTTTTTTCATGCTGGGATTTTTGCCAATCAGATTCCTCCATGCCGCAGTTTTGGCCAATCAGATTCCTCCAT